GGCCTGTCCTCCGCCCCGCACCGGATGAAACGCTCGGAAAACGCCCACTGAAGGGGGGACTTCAGGACCCCTCCCTCCCAGTGTGGGGGAAGGGAAGATGCTCCCCCCTCCCCAGCTCTCCAACCCTCTCTCTGGAGAGGGACTGGGAGTGGGAGCTCCAGGACCAGGGTGGCATGAAGTGGCTTCATGGGATTAGCGGGGTTGGGGGATCAGATAAGGACACAGACTCTTCCCCCCACTGTCTTGGAGCCGCAGCCAATGGGGGTGTCTGAGGACTGCGAGGAGAGGAGCAGTCAGACAGGATTACAGAGTGCGCGAGGGAAGGGGGTGCCTCCCCCAGCCAGCGCTCCCACCCTCCCCTACGGACCCCCTGCTGGGAGAGAGGGCTGAAGTATCCAGGACCCCCCCCCCCACACACACACACTGTCAGGGCGTCTACCCCCTCCCTACAGCGCCCCCTGCTGGGAGAGTAGTTGCGGAGAATCCCCCGGAAAGCGATGGGGGGAGGTGGGGATACGAGCAGGTGGGGGGAGCTGAGGGCATTTGGAGGGGGATTTGGGGGCTGAGGGCATGTGCTGGAGAGCGGTGTAGGGGGAGCGTTGGGAGGCAGGGTCTGAGGGAAGGGAGGGAGCTGGGGTCGGGGAGCAGCAGAGACGCAGCTGGAAGGTGTCTGGCTTGCAGGCTGTCCGGGTACTATTTTGCAATGAGGCTATTGGGGACCCCGGTGCACTGATCTGCCCCCTGCTCGTGCTGTTTTGCACTGGGGGGCCCCTCCCCAGGGCCCTTCTCCTCCCGTCTCCGTTGGCCGTCTTAGGACACCCCCCACCATTGCAGGCTGCGCACGGTGCCCTCCCCAGTCATCCATCCCTCGCCAGGGTGGAGCATGAAGCTGCCAGCCGGAGCATCCTCAGCCTGTCCCCGGCAGCCGGGCTCGCTCCGCCGTTTTGCTGGTGCCCGCAGCCTGGCGGCAGAAGGGACCCCGTTCCCCCCCAGTTCGGGGGCCATCTCGGCTGGGGGGCTCTGCAGGAAGGGGCGGAGGCACAGGCTGTGGAGGGGATCGTGCCGACCCCCCCTCCTCTCCGAGCGGCAGATGGACCAGTGACTCCAGGAGCATCCCTGTGCCCCTCGAGCGCCAGCTAACGGGGGCCCGCTCCTTTGCTCCCCACAGATCCGAGCCCCGGCGGGGGAGCGTGTGCAGCCCGCCCCAGGGGGGAGGTGGTGCGGCGCCCTGACCCCACAACCAGGTAAGGGGGAGGCCGAGAAGAGGGGAATCTGCCCCCCGGAGCTAAGCTGGGAGGTGAGTGGATGCTGCCTGGGGGGGGTAGCGACCTGCCCCCCGCCCTGACTGATGCCCAAGGAAGACCCCCGGGGGTTCTGGGTGGGGGGTATTGGGGAATGCTGCCTCTTTTACATCCTTAATCCCCCGGAATGGATTGGCAGCCCCCTCCCTCCATGAGGAAACTTGCATAGAAAGAGAAAAAAGGGGATTGGGGAAAGGTAAAATTATGGGGGGGGGCGATGGAGGCAGCTGATCCGTATGTGCCCAATTCTGCATTCCTAGGCTGTCTTGCTGGGGCGGGAGAGGAGGACCAGACACCAGGGCTGCCACAGGGGGAAAGCTGGGGGAAAGGGAGGGGTGGGGAAAAGAATCTGAGAGATTGCTGACATGTGGGCCTTGGAATGGAGATTGGGGGCACAGGAGACCTGGCCATAGCCGAGGTGTTGGGGTTTCAGGGACCTGGCTCTGGTTTGTGTGGATTTTTTAAAAATGTTTGCAGTCTGCAGCCACATGGGGCTGCCTCCACCCTATAGAACTGTCCCCTAAAGCTGATGCTTCTCCCACCAAACTTCCCCCTGCAATCTTGGGGAGCTCCCCCGAAAGCTCTCTTTCCAACCTGTGGGCTCCCTCTATCTTCCATAAAACCCCCACCTGGGGCTCTTCCCCCTCTCCAGAGCCACCCCCTCCCCAGCTCTGGCAACATGGGGCAGTGAGACTCTGCTCTGGGTCTCACTGTCCCTCGGTGCTGTCATCTTGCCCTGGGGCTCTTCCCCCCGCCCTCCGCTCAACCAACTGTCCAGGAAATTCTGCTGCCTGACATGGCCTGGGTTCAGCTGCCTTTTCTTTGGTGGGGGAGGGAATCTTCTCAATGGGAGGCCATGGGAATCCCACACCCAGTACTGGAGTAGCCTGGGGTCATACATGAAAACTGGCCAGGAAATGGAAAACACCTTGTATTCGGGGATGGAGGCATGTGTGCAGTGCTTCTTATGAGAGGATAGGAGACATGTGTGTGCAACACTTTGCATGGTGGATGCATGTGCAACACCCTATAGTCACTATGGTGCATGTACCAACCCAACCCTGCATGTACAGGGACACTGTGCCTACAGTAATGGTATACACCCATGCCCGGCAGCACACCTGGCAATTCACAGTCACCCATAGCCTTCTCACCTGGAGCAGTGCCCTGCACATCACCCATGCCCGGCAGCACACCTGGCAAGTCACCCATAGCCTTCTTACCTGGAGCAGTGCCCTGCACACTCACCCATGGTCCCCAGGCACCTGGAGCAGTAACCTGCATGCTCACCCATAGCACTCAGCACAGCGCCTTGCACACTCAAGCACGGTCCCATGCACCCAGAGTAATGCCTTGCACACTCTTCCATAGTTCTGTTCAGACTTTCGTGAGACCCTCCTAGAAAATTCAGGATGGAGGCACCTGGCACAGTCTAAGGTGAAGTTCATGTGGCCCCCCAGCCAACCTCACAGCTGCCATGCCTACTCTTGCCATCTTAGTCCCCCGGCCTGCGGAAGATGGTCTTGTGCATGTTCACTAGCACAATATTTGCACACACACCCCACTATAAGTGAAACCCTGCCCCACCCCGACTGCCCCTTCGCACACACCACCATTCCTTCATGTACCTCTTGCAAGTTCACATTCAGACTGCAGAATGTCTGGGGAAAACTGAAACCCCTTCCCACCAGGTGTTTTTACACAGGACTGCAGCCCACTTGGAAAAGGGCATTCCCACCCCATGGGGAGGAGGCTCCTGCCTCCAAACTGGGAGGAGAGTTGCAGGATGGAAAGTGCAGGATGGAAAGTCCCTCCACCTCCATGTATCCCAAATGGGCGGGGGAGGTTGCAGTTATAGCTCAGCCTGCAGAAAGGCAGCCCAGAAAATGGGATGGGGGGTGAGCTTGGAATGGGGTGGGGGATGGCAAGGGGCACAAGCTTTCTGGGGATGGGTTGGAAGGAATGGAAGTCAGGGAAACATGGAGAATTCTGGGACATTCAGTGGGGCAGGAAGGGACTGGGGCAGAGGGCTCTTCCAGGCACTGGCCCTGGTCCCATTTTTGGGGAGTCTCCAATTGTGCCGCCCCCTTGCCTCAGAGGGGTGTTTGTGTGTGCGCATGTGGTTGTGGGGCAGATTACTGCAGATCCCTAAAACCCATTAAACTAGGCAGAGGAAGGGTCACCCTGCAGTATCTCCAGTTCCAAGACCACGGAGTCACCCCCTTCCACACAAGCACAGGTTGAGTGAGGAGCTGGAGTGGGGGCAGACTCCAAATTCACAAGCTCTGCCAGCAACTGGTTGGAGGGGTACTGGTGTGGGTCTGAATTCTCCATTCAAGGCTGGCTCAGGGGGCCACTTCCATTTGCTCCCCCTGGCCCTGCCATGGGGCCAATCCTGCTGTCCATGCAGACTGATGGGGCAGCTAGTCCCACCAGGGCTTGGAGAGCGCACAAGAACCCCCCTTTTCCAGAACCCAGCTGGGGCAAGTGCCAGCCCTGTGGTGCCAAGCTGGTCCCAGGCCCCATTCATGTCTGGCTGGTGCTGTTTCTCAGCCCACTGAGCACAGACGGGGCCTGTGAACCAGCTACCAGCGCTGGTGTGAATCATTGGCATGGATCATGGGGCACAGAGTCAGAGAAGCCTGGAGTCCTGGCTCCCAGCCTTCTCCTCTCCTGCCCTCCTCCCACTGGAAGAGCAGAGAGGACTGGGAGCCAGGACTCCTGGGTTTCATTTCCAGCTCTGTATGGGGAGTGGTTCCACTAGCTCAAGACTCCTGTTCTTAACCCGCACCCTGTCTCCAGGAGGGGAGGAGGATGCAGTGGGCACAGGTGGCTGACCTGGGATGCACTGTGTTTTGCAGTCTCAGGTGTTAAAGGGCCAGGGTGGGTATTGCCATGGTCATGCTGGGGAAAGATGGGGCAGAAACAGAACCCGGAGAAAGGAACCCAAAGATGAGCTGGCCCAGCTGTAGGGGGAAGAGTAACTAGAGTTCCTAATGGCCTCTTATGGATGGAAGCTATGACCCCAGCAGTGTCTGTACCCCCTGAGCATCAAGCCATGCCCTTAATAATGGAGTACACACTCCAGAGCCCCCCAACCCAGCAGCCCCACCCATTCCCTTCCAGGCCACAAGGAAATGGGGCTGGTGTGGAGGAGAGCTGGCAGGTCACCATTTGTCTTCCTTACTCCTCACTGTGCCCTTTACTCTCTTGCAGGTCCTGCCCGCCCACCCTCACTCCCACCATGCCTCTCCTGTCCCCCCTTGGGGCCTCTACCTTCTTCCTCCTCCTAGCCTTGAGCCTCCCGCTGCACCAGGCCAAGGTGGAGGAGGGGCTGGGGGGCCAATCCCAGGGGGCATCGTCCCTGGAAGGGGCTAACGTCAGCAACCTGTGCCAGGAGTACACAGAGTGCCAGGAGGGGGTGATCCTGCCCGTGTGGCTTCCCCAGAACCCCTCGGTGGGTGACAAGGTGGCCCGGGCCATTGTGTATTTCGTGGCGCTGATCTACATGTTCCTGGGCATGTCCATCATCGCCGACCGCTTCATGGCCTCCATCGAGGTCATCACCTCGCAGGAGAAGGAGATCACCGTGAAGAAGGCCAACGGTGAGACCAGCACCACCACCATCCGCATCTGGAACGAGACTGTCTCCAACCTGACGCTCATGGCACTGGGCTCCTCTGCACCTGAGATCCTGCTCTCCATCATCGAGATTGTGGGCCACGGCTTCCAGGCAGGCGACATGGGTCCCAGCACCATCGTGGGCAGCGCCGCCTTCAACATGTTTGTCATCATCGCCGTGTGTGTGCACGTGGTGCCTGAGGGCGAGACGCGCAGGATCAAGCACCTGCGCGTCTTCTTCGTCACGGCCTCCTGGAGCATCTTTGCCTACATCTGGCTCTACCTCATCCTGGCCTGCTTCTCTCCTGGAGAGGTGGAGGTCTGGGAAGGCCTGCTCACCTTCCTCTTCTTCCCCATCTGTGTGGTGCAAGCTTGGCTGGCCGACCGCCGCCTCCTCTTCTACAAGTACGTGCAGAAGAAGTATCGCGCTGACAAGGCTCGGGGCCTGATCATTGAGACGGAAGGAGATGCAGCCCTCCCCAAGCTGGAGGTGGAGCTGGACAGCACCCAAGCCAATGGAGTGGGCGAGGCAGGTAAGGATGGGGACGAGGAGGCCCGGCGTGACATGGCACGCACCCTGAGGGACCTGCGGCAGAAGCACCCAGAGAAGGACATGGAGCAGCTGATTGAGATGGCCAACTACCACGTGCTGGTGCAGCAGCAAAAGAGCCGGGCCTTCTATCGCATCCAGGCTACCCGCATGATGATCGGAGCAGGCAACATACTGAAGAAGCATGCGGCCGACCAGGCACGCAAGGCACTGAGCCTGCCAGAGGTGCGCCCCGAAGATGACGACTTGCTCACCAGGGTGACCTTTGAGCCAGCGCTCTACCAGTGCTTTGAGAACTGTGGCGCAGTGGTGCTGACAGTAGAGCGGCGTGGCGGCGACGTGGCCCGCACAGCCGTGCGTGTGGATTTCCGCACTGAGGATGGCACAGCCAATGCCGGCTCAGACTACGAGTACGCCGAGGGCACACTGCTCTTCAAGCCAGGGGAGACACAGCGTGAGATCCGCGTGGGTATCATCGACGACGACATCTTCGAGGAGGATGAGTATTTCCGCGTGCACCTCAGCAACGTGCGGGCTGCCTGGGCTGAGTTGGGCACCGAGCCAGGCTGCTACTGCCACTGTCACCATCTTTGACGACGATCACGCTGGAATCTTTACCTTCGAGGGTGCCTCGGTGCGAGTCAGCGAGAGTGTGGGGGTCGTGCGAGTGCGGGTGCTGCGCACCTCTGGGGCCCGGGGCCGCGTGGCCCTACCCTATCGCACCGTGGAGGGTACTGCAAAGGCTGGTGAGGACTACGAGGAGGCAGAGGGCAAGGTGGAGTTCCTCAACGACGAGACCACGTGAGCGACATGGAGGGGGCAGGTGGGGGGAATGCCAGAGGGGAGTAGGTGCAAAGGGGCAAGGTGGGAGGAAAGGCAGGGAGAACACAGGCGAGGTGGGACTGTGGGGGAGCCATTGGGGGAAGGGACAGCTGCTTTGGGGGGCAATCAGGCTGAAGGCATCTGATGTGTATGTGAGGGGGACAGTGCCTAGGGAAAGGCGGGTCGAGGACAAGGCATAGGTGTGGGGAATCAGAGGAGCAGGTACCTGGGAGGAGCCATGGTTGCTGGGCATCTTGCCTACACTTCCAGGATAGCAGGAGGTCCCTGGATTGGGACCGAGGGGCACCAGCAGAGCTTGGGGCAGAGCCCAAGGCTGGGGTAGCAGGGGGCTGCACACCAGATGGAAGGACACTGCATGAGGCAATTGCTGGAGCAGCCATTCTCCCCAGTGGCTGAGCTCGGAGCCTTGGGGGGTTGGGGGAGCATCTGCACTTCAGTACAGCAGGGAGCAGGGGCCATTTGCTGTATCTACCTTGCAGCTCTGGACACTAGGGATTCAATCCCAACCTGCTTAGTGGGTGAAAGGGAAAGCATGGGGTACCAAGTCCCCTCCCCCATGACTGTACATGGGCTCTCCCCTCCATCCCTTGCCCCCTGCCGCCTCCCCAAGTCAGTCAACAGCACAGAAAATGGAAAACCAATTTCAGAGAAGGGTACATCCCCCCCAAACCCCTCCATGGCAACAGTGAGCTGCCCCCTTCTCTCCTCCCTCCCCCCTTATAAGCCAAGCTAGGGGGTTGAGGGAGCCCTGTGTCTCCTGTTTGCCAGTCCAACAAGAGGGCGAATGTGTGTGTGCGCGGGGGTGGGGTGAACCTGCGAGGGTGAGCAGATAGTGGGTGAGGGCGGTCATGCCCCCAGCAGGAGTGGTGCCCGGCACACCAGTAGTCAGGCGTGGTGGGTGAGAATGGCTGGGATGCTGCCATGGGCTCCCCCAGCAGCCTGCCTGCTATGGGGTAACTCAGGCCAAGGGGGCAGGGCAGGGGCTAGTTGGGCTCTGTGCTGGGATGGGTTCTCATGGAGATTGGGGAACATTAGGACCACCAGGGTATATGGGGGGGGGCACAGGCTGCACTGAGGGCGTGAGATGCTCTGTGCTGAGATCCCTGCAGCTGGCAGATAACCCTCCCTTGCTCCCCCTCGGCTCTCTTCCTTCCCCCCACCCGCCACAGCTGCTTCCAGCACCGCCAGAGCGAAGGGCCCTTTGTGCTCATGATTAGAGAACAGAACAGATGGCGCCAGGCGGGGGAGGGTACGGCCAGGGATTGCACTGCCAGGGCCTGAGCCCCAAGTGACCACAGCAACGGGGTTGCAGGGGAGCCCATAACTAGGATAGCAAGGAACTGAGGATGGGGAGTGAGGGGCCAGCTGAGCTGGGAGGGAGAATCCAGGTCTGGGATGGCAGTGGATTGTGGGCAGAATTGAGGGGCACTGGCAGAGCTAGGTGGGGCGTAGGGGAGCCAAGGCTGGGATTGAGGGGCACCACAGAGCTGTGGGAGGATGGGGAGACCAGGGCTGGGTGAGCAAGTGGGGATGGGATGGGATGGGATAGGATTGAGGAGCATCGGCAGAACAGTGTGGAGAGGCAGGGGCTGGGAAAGCTGGGGTGGGGGATCCAGGGATATCAGCAGAGCTGGGGGGAGTCTCAGGGTCACTAATGGGGTGAAACATCTGATTCCCCTGTGCTCTGATAATGGCCAATGGGATTGTGGGGCCTGGAGCCGCCCCCCAAATGGGCCCAAGCCCATTGGCTGATCCCCTCCCCCCATTCAGCACTGCAGCATCCATTAACCCCTAACCTGCTGCTTGACATTTGGGGGAAGGGTGGGAGAAGGTGAGGGGGGACAGAAATCTGTGTGTTAGGGGCGTGGCAGGTGGGTGGGGAGGGGGGAGGTTGCAGTGGAGGGGCAGTGTTCCCAGCTGTTCCATCTGGTAATTACCTTCCTCAAATTAGCTTTGAGTTGATGCTAGCTGCAGGGAGGGACTAGTCATGGGAGGGGTATGACAGTCTGGGCAGCGGGCTGACTGTGTACAAGCTAAGACTGTAGCCCAACCTCCTTCTTATGGGGCAAGGATCCCCCTCCCCAGTCAGGGGTCATGGCCACGGACCCTCATCTGGTCCAGCTGGAGCAGACAGGCCAGGATGAGCTTCCCCCCCTCCTCTCATACAGCAGCCTTATCACTCTGTGCCCTACAACCAGCACCCCATCTCACCCCCAGCCAGCACCCCATTTCACCCCACACACCCATCTCATCCCCTACCTCGCAACCCACACTCCCATCTCACCCTGTGCCCTGCAACCAGCCCCAGACCAGCACCCCCATCTCACCACGCCTCTCAATCTCTCCCTTCAGGAAATTCATCGAGATTAAAATAATTGACGACGAGGAATATGAGAAAAACAAGAATTTCCACCTGGAATTGGGCCCCCCTGAACTGCTGGAGATGGGTCTGCGGCACGGTATGGGGGACACAGCCCATAGCATTGGGGGGGTGCAGTGTGGGTGGGGCGCTGGAGCGTACACGGAGGTGGGATGGGGAAAGCCAGAGAGTAAACATTCCCTGGGCCTCTTCTTACCACAGGAGACTCTAACGAGAACCGTCCCATGGAGGGGGAGGAGGGGGCTGCAATCGCCAAGATGGGGTGCCCCAGTCTGGGGGAACACTCTAAACTTGAGGTGGTGATTGAGGAGTCCTATGAGTTCAAGGTAAGTGCCCAAGTGTGTCCCTTCCCTCCTTGCCCCCATGCACTTCCTATGCCCCTCTGGCTCCCCATGCTCCCCTTCTGCCCCCCCCCCATATTCCAGGTGCCCCATTCTCCTGGAACCCACAGTATCCTGTGCAACCTTTCCTGCCTCCAGCCCAGGAACCCCTCATGGCCCCCACTGCTACCCTGCTGAGCTGGGGCCAGACCAACTCTACCAACCTTCTCAGAATACATCTTCCCCACTTCATACCTGTCCCCCTGTGCTGTCTGCTCCAGTGCCCTTGTGGGCTCAGCTGTGCTGGCGGGGCCAGCCAGATGGGCAACTGCTCTCTTCCCTGGGATCCTTGTGTCTCTCACATGAGGCTGCCAGAGCCAGAAGGCCTTTAGGTGTGCATCTGGAGCCCAGGTGTGAGGGAGTGCTTCCATAGGTACCCTGCCCCCCACAATCTCTGCCAGCCCCCAGCCTCCCAGCATTGGGCATCTGGGCTCTGCCCCATACTATCATAGCCCCTACACTGGGCTTTAGGACTCTGCCCCCCATCTCACCCCTCTTTATCCCCCCTCCCCAGAGCACTGTGGACAAACTGATCAAGAAAACCAACTTGGCGCTGGTTGTGGGGAGCAGCAGCTGGAGGGAGCAATTTGTCAGTGCCGTGACGGTCAGCGCTGGTACGGAGGAGTGGGGTTGGGGGAGGGCATCCCACTCAGGGAGGGGCAGGACTCAGAGGAGCGGCGGGGCAGGGCCGGACCCTACGCTGCTCCTGCCCCAGGAGACAATGAGGAGGTGGGTGAGGAGCACTGTGTGGTTCAGGGAGGCAGTGGGGTGTGCAAGGGGTTACCCCACTCTTACCTCTGGCCCCCCCAGGGGACGAGGACGAGGACGAGACAGGTGAGGAGCGGCTCCCGTCCTGCTTTGACTACATCATGCACTTCCTGACGGTGTTCTGGAAGGTTCTCTTTGCCTTTGTGCCCCCCACCGAGTACTGGGGGGGCTGGGCCTGCTTCCTCGTCTCCATTGCGCTCATTGGGGTGCTTACCGCATTCACCGGCGACCTGGCCTCACACTTCGGCTGCACCATCGGCCTCAAGGACTCGGTCACTGCTGTGGTCTTCGTGGCCCTTGGCACCTCTGTGCCTGGTGAGTGGTGCAGGAGGCTCCGTGCAGTTCGGGGGCTTGGTGCCTACTATCATGAAGTCACAGAGCTGTATGGCCCCAGTCTAGTGGGCTGGGCCCCAGGGACTCAGTTCCACCAGGGCAGGCCTGCAGCCTCTGAGCCTGGGCCTTTGGCACCAACAATCTGTGTGTGTCTGGGTCTCCCTGCAGCAGACCTAGCCAAGCCAGCACTAGGCTTGGACCATGCCCCTTTCCAGCTGCAATGCTCCCAGGCATATTCACAGCTACACAGGCTGCCTTTTCGAAACGAGGCCCCCAACACTGAAAGCAGCTGAAAGTCCTCAGGTTAGCACAGAAGAGGGTCCACCCTGGTCAAATCAGTGCCCTGACGCGCCAGCCAAGCTGTACTGGATGCCAGCACTGCCCCTCTCCCTCTCCCCCTTGCCTGACTTCCTGGGGTTTTCAGGAGCCCTTATTTTGTGGGCGGTTTGGCTGGTTTCAGCCTATAGTCCTGTTTATTCCATCCCTCCAGCCAGGTGACAGCCACCTCTGTGCTGTCTTTGCAGGAGACCCATTACAATATGAAGTGTAGAGGGAAACTGGGGCATGCATAGGCTTCATACAAATACAGCAAATCCCTACTTTGTCACAGGTACTGAGTAGGGGTGGGGGTGCTGTATGGGGGGGGGTCTCTGTGTTGGGGTGGAGTGAGAGCAATCAGGGGGCTCTGTGCTTGGTGAGCAGCGGGGGACATAGGGAATTTGGCATGGGGGCAGTGCTGTACTAATTCCCAGCCCCATGTCACCCCCTACAGCATGCCCCCTAATTTCTCTCTTCCCCTGCACTAGGCTAACAACTCTGCTCCTCTAACCCCCACACCCCATTCAAACCCTCCCCTGCTCCCTGACACCATTTCCCCTGCTCACAAACCACTCCCCACACTACTTCCTTTATCCCTGTTTTGCCTCCATTAACCTCTCCCCCCACTAACCTCCCTCTTCCATTGTAGACACCTTTGCCAGTCGGGCAGCGGCCATCCAGGACCAATATGCAGATGCCTCCATCGGCAACGTGACGGGCAGTAACGCAGTCAACGTCTTCCTGGGCATCGGGGTGGCCTGGACCATTGCGGCCGGGTACTGGGCCAGCCAGGGCCAACGCTTTGTGGTGTCACCAGGCACGCTGGCCTTCTCGGTCACCCTTTTCACGATCTTTGCCCTGCTGAGCATCGCCGTGCTGATGTACCGGCGCCGAGCACCCGTGGGCGGAGAGCTGGGGGGTCCCCGCGCCCCCAAAATCCTCACTGCTGTGTTCCTCTTCTGCCTCTGGCTCCTCTACATCCTACTGGCTGCTCTGGAGGCCTACTGCCACATCCAAGGCTTCTGAGAGGCAGGGCTGGGAGAGAGACCCCTGCCCTCTGGCTGGGGGAACCCCCCCAGTCCCAGCTCAGGTGGGGAGAGCCCCTCTGCCCCAGTCCCTGGGTGGGAAGGCCTCTGGCTGAGGGTGGGAGGAACACTCATCAGCTCTGGGGAAAGCCCCATAATTCCTGGGAGGCAATGCCGACGGCTCAGCTCTGGCTGGTGGAGGGAGCACAACAGGACGTTCCAATCTCCTCCACTGCCTGCCTCCCTCAGACTGGGTAAGCCACCCACACGGGGAGTCCCCTTTCCCCATCCTGGGCCCCCATCAAGCTCTAAGGAAACCCCGAGTCCCTCCTCAGTTCAAAAGGGAACAAAGGACATTCCAACTGCCCCCCCCCCCAGTGCAGTTTGGATTTAGCAGGGGGCAAAGGTCATTCCATCACACACACACACACACACACACAGCGAGCTCTTCCTGCCTCAAGCGCCTCCCACCTGCTGCCTCCCCACCTCTGCCATCAGGGCAGGAAGGATGCAGGAGGAGGTAGCCCTGCATGTAGATGGTAGAAGAGTTGGGGAGGTGGTTAGTAGGGGTTGCTAGGGAATGTGGCATTTGGCAGCCCCACCAGATCAGTACACAAACGGGAAGGGGAGGATCTGACACTCTCCCTCTCCTTCGCTTTGTTTTTTAGCGTCCCTGCTCCTAAGCACTGGGACTCGTGTCTTCCATCCCAAAACATTATTATTCATTGATTCCCACTGGAACAAGGGGGAAGGACCTCTCCATGGGGGAAATTCCAAATTCAATATTGGAGTCACCCCTCATTGCCCTCCAAACAGCACAAAGTCTTTTGCTAAGGAAACTAGCATCAAACTAGAGTCCATTCCCCTCATGTCCATTGTGCCCCCTACAGAGCCCAGATTTCTATTCTGTTGCTTTTATTTTATTTAAACGATAGAAAAGAATATTTTATTTTGTATTTAAGAACAACAGCGCTCCATGCCTCAGATGCCCTTCCTGACAAATGGGGATGTGGGAATAACTGATGCAGCCATAGCCCCTGTTCCGTGCATGGTGTCCCGTCCTGGCGTCTGTCGTTAGCACCTGTGTATGTATTTGCACTTGTCCATCTGTCTGTCCGTGTCTGCTTGTTGCTGGCTGGTTAAACCTATAATGTTTCCTGCCCCAGTTGTCCCCTGGTCCCTGTCCCACCCCCATTGCCTGCACTTTCATTTGTAAAAAAAACAAAACAAAGCAAAACAAAAAAAAGAGAGAAACAAATAGAAACATAAAACTTTGTACTAAAAGTGTTGTGTCTTTGTGCTCCAGAGGTCACTGACTCCAGTCTGGTCCCAAGGCATGGGGGGGGACAGGCTGGGGGGATGCAATACTGGGACTTTTCCTTCAATTCATCAGGTCCAAAGGCCATTTCTCGTGGCTTCAAGAGGCACCGATATCCCTAGGCCCTTGGCAGAATTGTGTGCACTGGCCCAGCAGAGACGTGCCCCTGAGCTGGGGCCACAACCAGGGCCTCAGTGTTTACCTCTGCACTACACTGGGTTGTGAACCTGGTGGAGATGGGGGGAGTTGAACACGGCCCCTTCTCTCACTCCAAACTGGGGGCTGGGAGTCACAGAGCAGCAGCAGCCAGGTAGGGGGAGAACACAGACAGAACCTCCCCATGTGCGTCCCAGCTCTGCAGTGCTGGGGGTAGATTTACCACAGCCCACCTGTGGGGCACAGGAGTAGCGGTTCTGCAGGCAGGACCCGTCCTCACCAGAGAAGAGGCTGGTTACTCCCGGCAGGCAGGTTTATTGAAATTCCACATTAAAAAATTACAGACAGGAAAAAAGTTACAGTGAAGGGCATTTTATCCACCCATCCACTCCCCCAATACAAAATAATCTGTAGAAGAATAAACGGCTCTTATGTTACATCTGTCCCGGGGGAAGGAGGGACCGTCACACCCAGCTGCTCCCTGCCAAAAACTACAACAATGCAAATCAGTAAAAAATAGGATTAAAAAAGATTGTATATAAAAATAGCCCTTTTTATCCTGCTCTGAGGTTCCCCCAAGAGTAAGCCTCAGATCATAATGGGGGGCACAACAGGTTACCTCCCCAATCTCGCCGTCAGGTGGGGACTGTCAGGGAAGGTTACAGTGTACCGCCAGCCACCGGTAGCATTAAGCCACCTGAAAATCTGTGGCCCAGTCCCTGCAGAGGCATCAAGGATGCTGATTTAAAAAAAAAAAAAAGTTTTAAAAAAGTATAAAACGAGTGTCTTAGTGTATTTGCAGTGGCTGCCCTGTGTAGCCCCCCACCCCTGCACCCCCACCTCCTAGAACACCCCGAAAGCAGAGACTTTACGTGCCCCACTGGCCCATGCACAGTGCACAGATGCACAGTGCCACCTCCCTCCCCCCCGCAGTACATGCTGGTTGGAAGGGGGTGCAGAGGTGCTGGGGCGACTCCCCGTCTCAGCAGTGGTCTCCCCAGCAGGGTGGCTGGGGGGCCACATCTCCCAGCACAGCGTTCTGGGCAGCAGAAGCTTCGTACCAGGCCTCCCTGCCATTTCACAGCATGGTGCTCTCATCCTCTTCCTGAGGGGCAGCAGGAGGGTGCCCATTGCTCACCCCCACCTCCAGCTCGGCTTGGAGGAAGCGGCGGATCTCCTGGGGCAGCAACTGTGCTTCCAGCTCACATTCTTGCTCCAGCTTCTCCACCAGCTGTATGGAAGGGGGAGAGGGGTGTTGGTGGGGGACACGAGAGGAAAGACCCCGCCCCCCGCCACTGCACAGCAGCACTTGGGCCTGGAGCTGCAGTCACCCCTCCATGCTGCATGATGGGTCCATGGCTCCTCCCCTTGCAGCAAGCATCCAGGGATCCCCAAATCCCCTTTTGTCCCCCACCTGCTGCATTCACTCCCCCAGGGTTTCCTCTGCTGTGACGATTGGGCCCAGGGGAGACACCCCCAGGTGCTGCCACTCTCCCCGCCCCACTCACCCTGGGCACCTCTTCCTCAATTTGCTGTAGGATCTGCTGGTGCCCGGCCACAAGCTTCTCCTGGCGCCGCTTCTGGGCCTCATCCAGCTGCCGAGCAGGGGCAAGAGAATGTTATGGGGGAGCGGCCCAAGGGCAAAAGGTGCAGTGATCCAGCGAATGAAGGAGGGGCAGGACTAGCAGGAGAGATGCCCCCACTGATGTTCAGAGCTTGTGGGATCCCACGTATCTGTGGGGCAGCTGGCTATCCTCTCCCCCCAAATGGCCAACGCAGGGAGCAGACCGAGACATTGGGGGGCACTCACCCTGCGGATGGAGTTCACTGACTCATTGATGTGTCTCCTGTTAATCTCTGTCAGCTCTCTGCAGGGATGGGAGGAGGAAGAGACAGTCAGGTGGGACTGAGCCCCCAGCACAAGGCTCTGTGGGCCCAATCCCCAAAGTGGCACAGGGATCCATGCCCCAGGATTCCTATTGTCTCCCTCCCCCACCGCCCCCATGTGTAATGAGGTCCACAGGGCAAGCCCAGTCCCAACCCCACCCTCACTAGCCCCTTTCCCCCCTCAGCAGCTCCCGCCTCTCCTCC